AGCTTTTCTTCATATGCCTGTTTGTCTAGCACTTTGAATAGCTTTCCCCCATTTAGAAAATATAGATTCTCTGAATTACTTGGGTTTTCCAAATATTAACCCATTTCAGTACAAAATATTTTTAATCACATTTTTAATATCACTACCTATCTCATCAGAAAAGTCTTTAAGTATTGGGGCCAAGTTTGGTGGCTCACACCTGTAACCCCAGCACTTTGGTAAACTGAGGCAAGAGGATAGCTTGAGGCCAGGAGTTCAAGGCTACAGTGAGCTGTGATCACACTGCTACACCCCAGCATGGGCACCAGAGCAAGACCCTGTCTCTAAAAAAAAAAAAAAGTCTTTAAATATTGGAAAACTATCAGTCATGGAGGATTTGAAATTCTAGTTTTCACTAAACACTCAAATTTTATCATTGGCAAAAAATAGTTGTTTTTCTGGAAGTAATAGGTTACTTATTATAACGTGCCAAATTGCTGAGTCTGCAAAGCCATATTGAATATCATCATTCCTTCATATCAAAATGTTACTCCTTGAAAAGATCCTTACGGCTTCTATTGCTTCATAACTTCTGCTTATAGTGTTCTGGGTATCCATCAGCTTTGCTGCCACCCTACAGCCTCTCAGTGTGCCTCACATTTAGATACCTCCAGAGAGAATCTGATTGGATTCTCCAGCCATTATCTAATATAGGGATGCATGGCAACCAGTGCATAAGGAACCACTTGTGGCTACTTACTCAGAGGAGACTTCAGATCTAGGAGACAGTCAGAGTACCATGTCCAGAATGTATACCATGATGAATTAGCAAGATATAGTTTTCAATACATGGATGCAAAGTGATTATGGTATGAGAATTTTTTAATCTCAGATTTTGTAATTTGCTTTTACAAAGCACCCATTTGACAGCACCTTGTTTAAAGACAAAAAAAAGCATGTCCTTAAAACTGTAGTCACATTCTTGGTGCTCCCTTCACTTTGTTTGGGTATTAATACTACTCTGAGACTGCCATGGGACCACCTGTTCCAAAAATATTCTTTGATGTGGATTGAGTAGTTTTACTGTGAGTGTTCTACCAAGATAAACATAGAATTTATTGCCTTTCACAGTAATAATAAGATAACATTGTTAAAGAAGGTTTCGGCCAGGCATGGCAGCTCATGCCTGTAATCCCAGCACTTTGAGAGGTCGAGCAAGGCGGATCACGAGGTCAGGAGTTCAAGACCAGCCTGACCAACATGGTGAAACCCCATCTCTACTAAAAATACAAAATTAGCCGGGCGTGGTGGCACACACCTGTAATCCCAGCTACTCAGGAGGCTGAGGCAGGAGAATCACTTGAAACGGGGAGGGCTCACTTGCAGTGAGCCGACATCATGCCATTGTACTCCAGCCTAGGTGACAGAGCAAGACTCTGTCTCAAAAAAAAAAAAAAAACAGATTTCTTTGGTTGACTAACAATTTTTCATTGTTCTAATGGGGGTCTTCCTCCTTCACAAGGGAGGAAGATCCTCCAAAGTTTCTATGAGTATAATCTTATAACTGGTGTTTTTGTTAAGAAATAATTAGGAGTCACCAGGCACTCCATTGTTTAAGTTCACAAATTTCAAACATTTTTTTTTTAAGATTTACTTCCTCATTTTGGTGGGTACAGAAGGCTAAAAAGTGTATTTCTGCCATCTTAGGGGGATAGAAGGTTTGGCAACTCTCTCTCCTTTGAAGGTCCTGGAATCATTTATTATAATATATACCATTTAGTATACATGTTGGCTGTCTGAATGGGAACATACCCATGAGCATGCACATGTGCTTACAAACATGTTCATTCATTTAGCAAAATTAAGAATGGAAGCAGGCTGTTTTTAGAAAAAAATATTTGAGGGCTGAGTTCCCTCTTTCATTCATCCCATGAGGGTATTACTAGGGGGTTTAATATATTTGGGTTAATGATGAGGGGAAGAAAATAGCATCCTTTTGGGGAAATAGAACCAGACACAATTTAAAGTGGGACCCAAATCGAAACATAATTCTTTTATAAAACAAATGTTTTATTTTCTGTTTGTCACATGGATGCCATCTGAATTTTAAAAGAAATCTAGGCTTCCTTTTATCCTTTATGGTTTTTTTTAAAAGCAAGAAGTCAGAGACTTTGTACATCTTGATTAACTCTTACGTTTGAGCCATGTGTCACAAGTAATTAAATTATAAATATTCTAAAGAGTAATTCGTGCACACTCTAACACTCTAAGGGCTTTTTAAATTTTACACAGCTTACCTTTCTTTCTGAAGAAAGTCCTCACAAAGATAGATTATATCAGTTTCTCCATTGATGATGTATTCCAGCAATAAACATAGTCCTAGAATTGTAGAATATGCACTGCTGCACTCTGTCCTGACAGACAGTAGACAAGGTTTATAATTTTTTTCTATGGGGCACTAAAAATACCCTAGTATTTCCTTTAACTTTTTGCACTGACAGGTCTAAAGCAAAGCCACAGAAGCTGCTTTTGCTCAGTAAGTATTGTTAATGCTGCAGTGCATATTAAAATTTCAGAAAACCCAATTATATACTGTCTAGGTGTGGATAGCTCTCATTGTTAGTGTCCTAAATCATCTAAAGGCTTGTTTTCTTTCTTTTTTTTTTTTTTACAGACCTAACTACCATAATGAATGCTGCATATTAAGAGAAACCACAAGAAGGTTATATGTTTGGTTGTCTAATATTCTTGGATTTGATATGAACCAACACATAGTCCTTGTTGTCATTGACAGAACCCCAGTTTGTATGTACATTATTCATATTCCTCTCTGTTGTGTTTTGGGGGGAAAAGACATTTTAGCCTTTTTTAAAAGTTACTGATTTAATTTCATGTTATTTGGTTGCATGAGGTTGCCCTTAACCACTAAGGATTATCAAGATTTTTGCGCAGACTTATACATGTCTAGGATCCTTTTATCAAGGCAGTTATGATCATCATTTTCCTGCCTTGACCCCACCATCACCAAACACTCAGTTAAATATAAATTAACATTTTTTAGATGACCACTCAACATAATGCTTAAGAATGGAATTTCCTCTCTTTGACAGACCCAGGAATTAATTCCTAAATACATAATGTTGGTATATTGAAGACGAAATTAAAATTGTCCTTCAGTTTTGAGGCCATGTGTAAAGTTTAACCATATTGTAAAATATCTATTCCGTATTAGAAATAGCTAGTTGACAGCTTATACTTCTCAAAATTCATATTGTTATGTACACAAACTAAGTTTCTATATGTGAAGTTAGTGAGTCTTTTTGTGTTACTCCAAAATAAAGGCAATGATTTATTTTTTCCCAGTGCCAATACAATTTTGAGCTAAGCACTCAAGGTGGATACTTCACATTTTAAAGCTGGAATCAGCAACAGCCCTATGGGAAACCAGACAAAACATTGACTTTTAAATGTAGACTTTTAAAATAAACTGTTTTCTTTTGGAACTACAATTAGAATAGTTAATATTCATCCATAAACCATTATTATGTGTACATTATTGTTGCTGTTGTGATAATAGAGAATTTTATTTATTTTTATGCCAGCTTATATTGTGAGAACACATTTAGTCAGTTTGGGTTTTATCAATCCTGTTAATGCTTGTCCTTGGAACATCTTTTGCGTATTCAAGGTTTGTAGTTGAAAAGTTTACTGTAAAAAAATCAAAAACAAAAAAATGTATTGTTTTTACAGAATAAATTTATTGGAATGTGTACTGGGAGTAAGATTTGAGGTTGTAAGCAAACTAAGTTAGTGTAATTTGGCTTCATATATGTAATGTGAGGTATTAATGTAATTCATATATTAAAGCAAAAATTGTTCACAGCAAGCTGACAATAGAATCAAGTGCAGGTGAGGGTTTTTCTTTCTTTTTTTTTTAAACACTCGCTGGGTTTTAGATTATTTGAAAACACTGTAGGGGATGAAGGGGAGATGACTACATGATTTGCTTACACATGCATATTTACCAACCCTGTGGACCCTAGATTTTGTAACTTGATATTATCCATGCATTGATTTGTATCCCATTTTCTTTTGGTTTTCTTTTGTGAGAGCTAATAAAAACATGAGAAAATGTGAGCAGACCTAAAAGCCTAGGGCCATTAATGATGATGATGATGATGGCAGCTAAGGGTATGAAAGCACCAGTCCATTGATCATTCCAGGGCACAGTGAGGAGGTGGCTGTTTGTATTTTTGGTGTGTTTCTTTCATTTAGTAAATACTGATTTTCTCTAGTATATTCAACATACAATCCCAAACATGGAAAGTTCATAAAAAGATAGTAGGGATGTCAATCTAGTACTTTTTCTTTAAAAGATACTTTTTAATTTTGAATATTTGAATGTATTTTTAAATTAATGAAATTTAATTAATTCATCAAAAGGCCTCTTCATTGCTCACACTGAAACATAAGGGGAATGTAGATGACGTTTTGAATTGGAATATACAACTCACAAATTTTGTTTAAAAGCAATTTTATGTGTATATATGAAATGTTTCAAATTTAATAAGATGTGTCTTCATAAGAGGCCAAAAATAATTTTATTAAAAATATACACAGAAATACAATAGAAATATTTTCAGCCACCACTAAAACAAGTGTTCATTAAGGGTAGAGATAGTTATTGATTCCTATTTAGCTATTTAAATTCACACAAAAAAATTTAGTAAAAGTAATTTTCTTAAAACAGCAGCAAATAATGAACTTTGCTTGGGAAAACATTTTTCAAACAACATTTACAAATATTCTGATGATTTGCCTTTTATATTGAAGTTAATAATGAAGCATATTCATCTTATTTGCAAAAGTTATTTCTGCAGTCTGCATTCACTGTTTTGAATTTTTTAATATGAACAGGCCATATTCTCTATATTCTCTTTTGAATAATTTCATGCTCACTACTGTTGACACTAAATTGTAATTTTTTACACTTATAATTATTTCATATGTCAAACAGAATATTGAGATGGATGATCAAGTTTATTCACAAATGATTTTGAATATATTTCTTTAAACAGACTTTCTCAAGAATTTCCATTTTGCTTCAAAAATTTACACAGTACCATATAGCTCACACATACAGTGCAGAGCAAGAATGTACATATTCTTAAGTATTCATGTATGAGAAGAGAATGAAATGGGACATAATATCAGTACCAGTATAACAAAAGTTAGTAATTTAGAAAGGAACATGAAGTAATATTTTTATTCCACTTTTTCTTCTGCCTTTGTTTTTATGAAGAACTCTGGTTTGTAGATACAACGATAGACCAAGAGCTGAGGAAGAACTCCATATGCTATGTTTAATGCTAAAAAAAGGATTTTTGCTTCTTCGGGGACTCTGTAGACATAAGCAGTTCTAGCATGAAGAGAAGCACCAATGTGAGAAAACTGAGCCTGTTGCATAAAAAAAAAAAATGGGGTAAGCATGAAACATGTTCAGTTGGATGCACGATGAGTTCTGAATGGTTCATTCAGGCTACGTTTCTGTGCCCTCAAAACCAGTCTCACCTGCAGGCAAAATACCTTCAAACAATCCAGAGTCTTTAATGTGAGAGTCTTTCATTAAATTTAGTCTTTGATTAAATTTAGGGCCATTCTTGATATGACTGTTCAAATAAAGTAGATATTATTTCGTGTAGTTTTATCATGCCAGTTGTGTTTTTAACCATCAAGTGCCCTTTACCAAACATTAGTGGCTCAATCTAATAGAAAAATCTGAATAAAATCTCAGTTTTTTTTTCTGATTTGCATTCTGGAGATCCTACATAGAGACTCAGTTGTGGTTCACAAATTGAGTTCCAATAAAAATGAGGAAAGTGCAGAGTTTTTAAAAACTAAAATATTTTTAGCATAACAAACTATTGAAAGGGAAGCACTGGGGGGACCTCAGCTTCATTTATCCGTCTTTCATCTACTCCTTGGAGCAAGAACTTCTACCCTTTCCCTATGTGTTTTTTGTTTATTCATTTATTCATGTATTTGTTTTTTCTGCAGCTTTTAAAATATTAAGGGTTGTTTGTAAGATAAGATCGTTACCAATTTGGGTGGAGGTAGGAGTACAGTTGCTCTTTGTAAAATGGCAAATGTACATGCAGGCAACCTTTTTAAATCAAATTATAATTTATTTGGAAGTATGACTTGTCAGCATTATCTGCATTTGCAAAATGGCCTCCCTCTCTACTTATATACTTGTTCAGAAAACACATTCAGAATGTGCCAACTGGTCTTTTTTGATATTTTTTGCAAGCACAGAGGAAAACCGTATTGGAAAGGGTAAAACAGACCACAGCAGGATTAAAAGCTCCTGTCAGAAAATTTCCTCAGAAGGCTTGTATCATTACAAAATGTACCCCTGGAGTCTGCATTTTCATATCTTGCTGAAATTCAAGATATACATGAATAAAGGATTGGGAATCTAAATGTATTAAGTAGTAAATTATCAGTTCATCAGGATCAAAGAGACAAAAGACTGCACTATAGAGAAGGCATAGAAGTAACAAGAATGAAGAATTAAATAATTTGCTTTAAATACATATAAGTTATTTTATATTTCTTTCCGTATGAAACCAATGTATTCTGCCGAGTGATTCACAGATAAAGGTGTTTACTCATCACTTGACTTCACCATGGCAAGAAAAGGACAAGTTTTTTTAAGTAGCATCTTTATGAATTTTTTATCAGTGGCAAATATTTTAATGGGCTGCATTTTTACAAATTCCTGGTATATTCTGGAGACCTGTGGTACATGTTGGCTACTCTGGAAATAGAAATTAGCATGATGTATTGCCAAGGACCAACACGTGGATTGTCTACATTGTGATCCGTGAGGCACCGAGAGGACTCGGCCCTCAGATACACCTCCCCTTGGTAGATGCCCAGGCAGAACCCAGCAAATGTATTTGCATCTCCGGGCTCCAAGGGCAAAAAACCTTGAGAGTAAAGGGCACTTTCAGGGCTGCCCTGAGGTGGTGCATTCTGGACATTCTAGGAACTCTGAGCAGGAACATGGCTCCCGTACTATTTTTCCTTAGGGCCTGTTTTGAATAATAGTGTTTTTCTGAATATATAACCAAGCATTTTCTTCTGGACTAGAAGCCAAATTCGATCCCTGGTTTTCAGAAATGTGGGTTTGGTGGTTCTATCTTTATAGATACTTACACACATCACAAAATCACCAAATTTGGGGAAATGCCAACCATACTTTAAGAGAATAAAGATGAGCAGTTGTGCCTACTTGCATAGGGAAGCCTGCATAAAAAGTCAGTGATTCCTTAGGCTCTTTTCCTGCACTAACCAGTGCAGTTAATACCTCATTTTCATGAACAGCAAACTCGTGGCAACATTAAATGAATCATGGCCGGGCACAGTGGCTCATGCCTATAATCCCAGCACTCTTGGAGGCTGAGGCGGGTGGATCACCTGAGGTCAGGAGTTCAGGACCACCCTGGCCAACGTAGTGAAACCCCATCTCTACTAAAAATAAAAAAAATTAGCCGGGCGTGGTGGTGGGCACCTGTAATCTCAGCTACTCGGGAGGCTGAGGCAGGAAAATTGCTTGAACCTGGGAGTGGAGGTTGCATTGAGCCAAGATTGTACCATTGCACTCCAGCCTGGGTGACAGAGCAAGACTCTTGTCTTTAAAAAAAAAAAAAAGATTCATGTCCTTAGATTGTAAGCCCACTGGGCAGGTACTGTGTCTAATGTTTTGTGTGGCACCTATCACATTACTAGAGCTCAATAAACGTTCAACAACGATGGACTTGTGACTGTCAAAATACATAAAGGGTCTACAAAGCTTTTCTCTATTTTTGTATGTATTTTAGTAGGCCTCTTTATTCAGAATTATTAAGGCACAAACATTTTAACATTCATAATCAAAAGAGGCATTTGTATGTGAGAGAACTCTAAGGCCAGTTGTGTGCAGCTCCCAGTACTGCTCATAGTCCTAATGGATGTACTTATGGTAGCCACACTTCTAGCTGAGTGAGTACCTGACCATAGCTTTCTCCTAAGGCATAGGATGTTAAGTGTTCAGGAGGAAGTTCAGAAAAACCTCAGTCTCACGTGAGGAGGTTTCTCTTCCCAAGTACATAGCTAATAAGGGGCTGCAGGTTGTCTCCTGGGTGTTGTTCCCAGCAGCACGAGACCTCTCATGTCAGGACCTGAAGAGCTCATCCTGAGCCTGTGCTGGGGTCAGGTGGCTCAGTGAACTCAGTGCTGCTGAATTAACAGGAGGCCCAGGATTACAGATATGAATTGTTGATCCTAGAAATTTATCCAGAATTTAGCAATGTGAGGTTGAGTCCCTAATAATTTTTCTTCTACTTCATTCTAAATCATTTTCACCTTACAGAAATAATTAAGAGGCCGGGCGCGGTGGCTCACGCCTGTAATCCCAGCACTTTGGGAGGCCGAGGCGGGCGGATCACAAGGTCAGGAGATCGAGACCATGGTGAAACCCCGTCTCTACTAAAAATACAAAAAATGAGCCGGGCACGGTGGCGGGCGCCTGTAGTTCCAGCTACTCGGGAGGCTGAGGCAGGAGAATGGCGTGAACCCAGGAGGCGGAGATTGCAGTGAGCCAGGATCGCGCCACTGCCCTCCAGCTTGGGTGACAGAGCGAGACTCCGTCTCAAAAAAAAAAAAAAAAAAAAGAAATAATTAAGAGATATATCTGATTTTTTTTTTAAAGGATGGAGTGGCAAATGAGACAATAAGGTGAACAAAGGTTAAATTTTAAGAGCTGTTTTCTTACATGTATACCGACAATCTGTAAAGGATAACTAAAAAAGTTAATGCTTTTTCCAGAAAGAAGAACTGAAAGAGTGTTATATGTCCATGTGAATGTTATAGGCAGAAAACTTAGGTGACCATTGGGATGACAGCCAGGGTCTTTTGCTAATACAGTATAAATAGCTAATCCAGAACTGTATTATCTTTTCTTAGAGTTTTTTGAGCAACATAGTTTATTGGTTCACAACACTGACTTTGGAACTAGACATCCAGAGTCAAATCACAACTCCACTACAAACCAGCTGTATGGCCTTGGGTGAGGTGTGGAACCCACCTCATAGGTTGTTTTGAGGGTTCAGTGAATTGATGTTTGTGATATGCTTAGACAGTGCCAAGCACTTGGGGCTATTCTGTAGACACAAATACAAAACTGAAATACCCATTCATGATCTGGTGCTTGACTCTGTAGAAAACCTGGGCCTTTGTTTTTAGATCCTCTTGACCTTTTGACCTTTTTACTGTTAAGTGTCTCCATGAAAGGATAAGCACATAAAGATATTAAATCCAGTATTAATTTAATACTAAATAAAGATGTTTAGCAATGAATCACACCAGAAGCAAATGAAGAAAACAAGATTTGCATTAGTATCCCAACTTAGCCGTGTTCTTCCTAAACCTTTACTTTCAGATTTTTCTTAACGTCTCCATGAGGGAAAAACCGTATGAAATTTACTTCCAGGCTGAGCATGGTGGCTCATACCTGTAATCCCAGCACTTTGGGAGGCCAAGGCAGGAGGGTCACTTGAGTCCAGAAGTTTGAGACCAACCTGGGCAACATAGCAAGACCCTGTCTCAATTTAAAAAAAAAATAAAAGAAATTTACTTCAGTAGAGTTAACTCTTCACAACCAAATTATTCACACATAAGCTTCCATATCTCTTTGTGAGAAAAAGACATGGCATAGCACCTACATAACCAGGGAGTTAGAGAGTCTGAGGGCCGCACCTGACTGAAGTAACTGAACCTGCTTTGCTGGCTGTGGGATGGCAGGCTCCTTACCAAGCCCATGGTGAGTCTATCCCAAAGCTTTCCCCCAGTTTCTTTGTTTTCTTGATAATTATATACAATACACATAATTTAATTAGTTTGTCTAATTTGTAACAGGTTGCAACATAAGGCATTTCTCCAAACTCTTACTGGGAATCTTCTACTAGTAATAATAGCAACAAAGAGTTTACATAGCTGTTATGTGCCAGGCACTGTTTTAAGCCCTTTACATATATTACCTCATCCAGCCCTCACAGCAATTTCATGAGAAAGCTACCGTTATTATCCTCACTTTACAGAAGAGGAAACAGGATCAGAGAGGTAAAGTAGCCAAGGTCATTGTGCTCATCAGCAACAGGCTAGAGTCTGAACCAGTCCACCTCTAGAGCTTATGCTTCTAACTATATGAACTCTACTGGCTCTGACTTTTTTTCATTTTCATTGATATTTTAGCAGAGAAAATGCTTCAACTGAGGAAATGCTAATAAGTGGATCTAAGCAGCCTCTAATGCCTTTCAGATTACACTTGCAGCTTTTATCCTATAGTTAGCATTTTATATGAAAAGATACCTGGGTTATGAGTAAGTCCCCAGTGGAACTCTTTGGTCTAAAATGTGTCCTGGTTTCATTTTATTCAATCTTCTTTTACTCTTTCCTTGATCTTTTGATTTCTTAAGGCAGCAGATTTGGCAGACTCCTACATGGTCTGAAATCAAGGCCCCAGTAACTACTCACTCTTTTTTTTGAGACAGTCTCGCTCTGTCACCCAGGCTGGAGTGCAGTGGTGTGATCTCGGCTCACTGCAACCTCCACCTTGCGGGTTCAAGCGATTCTCCTGCCTCAGCCTCCCAAGTAGCTGGGATTATAGATGCCCACCACCACGCCCGGCTAATTTTTTGTATTTTTAGTAGAGATGGGATTTTGTCATGTTGGCCAGGCTGGTCTCAAACTCCTGATCTCAGGTAATCCACCTGCCTCGTCCTCCCAAAGTGCTGGGATTATAGGTGTGAGCCACCATGCCCGGCTACTACTCAATATTTCTTGCATTGGCCTATACTGATCAAGAATGAATTCAAAGGTGTGTTTTTTTCCTTATTAAGTTGCATAGATTCTTCAGAGTTTGCTAGATGTTTCAATAAAAGTAAGTTTTAGTAAAGTTAGTGGGATCATGAATGCATAAGGCTTCTAAATAAGAATGGCAATTTTAGCAAGCAAAGATGCTGATTAACGTTACAGAAAAATGCTTTTTTTTTTTTTTTTTTTTTGGTAGTGGTGGAGAGACAGGGTCTCTCTCTGTCGCCGCCCAGGCTGGAGAGTGCAGTGATGCAGTCTTGGCTCACTGCAACCTCTGCTGCCTGGATTCAAGCGATCCTCCCACCTCAGCCTTCCTATTAGCTGGGACTACAAGCACATGCCATCATGCCAGCCTAATTTTTGTATTTTTTTGTAGAGACGGGGTTTTACCATGTTACCTAGGCTGGTTTCAAACTCCTGACTGCAAGCAATCCACCCACCTTGGGCTCCCAAAGTGCTGGGATTACAGGCATGAGCCACCATGCCTGGCTGGAGAGTGCTTTCTGTGATGAATGTGTAAGGTACTCCCATAAGATGAGACTCCATTTCATAAGCACGTACTTTTGCTAAGTGAAAAACAAATCACATAACTAATTCATTATTCTGGTCGTATACATTGTTTTGTTGCAGCATGGTTTCTAACTTTTCCTTAGTCTACACACTATAAGTAGGTAGATATTAAAGCCCAGCCAAGAGCTATGGGAATTAGACCCATAATCCTTTACTCAATCTGTCTTCACCTGCTGGGCTGGGAGAAACATCCTGACATTTACAGGATCTGGTCCTTAGCCTTAGGCTCTGGATCTGGGTATTCACCATCAAGAGAGGCTTCAGGCTGCCTTAACAAACTGGGCAATGATGGATAAGCCCCAGGATGCCTGATATCTGACATGAATGGGGTAATGCCCCTGCAGCTGCTAGCTGCTCTGTAGTCCACACTGCCCTTCTCAGAACCACTTGGCTGGAGTAATAAGTGCCTATCTGCAAGCTTAGTTTCACCAACAAATTAGGGTTCGTCTTACTGCTACAGGCTCACCACACCCATTTTCCTCCAAGCTATGACCTTCCTAAGCTTCCTGACTGTTGACCCTGGCCATGTGACTAGGCTTTTGTCTAGGTTTTCCTGCCGTTTCCATTTGTTTCCTGAGACTTAACCAGGTCCAACATCTGGTCTCTTTAACCAGCCTGCTGGCTGATGACACTTAGTGTTCCTGTCTCAGGGACTGGTACCAGGCTGACCAAGGCACATGGCAGGTAGAGGAGGCCTGATTGTGCAGGCAAAACACAAGGTGATAGGTGTCAAACAGAACAGCTGTCAAACTGAACAGTAATCCTCTAAAGAAAGGGCTGGCAAGAGTGAAGTGGGTATGCGGCCTTCTGTCCTGAAGGATACAGGAGAATAAGGCAGGGGAACCAGGCCAAATAAAAGCCAAGACTTATTCTGCCATCAGACCTGCTGCGTATGCCCACACCTCAGTGTTTCCCTGGGTTATTCCCTGGAGAGGCTCAGCCTAATAAAGCCCCATTTGGCCCTCAGAGTCCAACTCAGAATGTCACTGCCTTCCACCCACAAGGTTCTCCAACACCTCATAACTACGTACAGTCTTGTGCTGTAGGACTCTGTGCCATAGTTCATTGTTTGCATGGGGTAGGCGAGATAACACAATAAAGAAGAATATGAGGTTTGGAGTCAGGATTTCATAACCCTATTCTGCCATTTAATAACTCTGTAATCTAAGGCAAATAATTTCAGGTGTCCTGAGCCTCCGCTTCCTCATCTTTATATTGGGATTTTTTTTTCAAAGCTATTACAAAAGATAATACGATGTGTCCATTGTGCTGTTTATTATGAGGCAGGCAGGAAGACCACAGTAACCAGCCTCCCCTGCAGTTGACCTGGTGCCAGGCCTGGACCCTGAAAATATCCCACATGATCTTTGCATAAACAGGAAATGAAATTTTACTGTGTTAAGCTACACTGAGTATTTGTTACAGCAGCAGAGCACATAGCCTATCCTTAGACAAATAGGTAAGTAAAACTTTTAACATGGTTTGCCTGGCACGAAGTAAGGTGATGAGAGCTCAGACTAGTGTAGGGGCAGCGGAACTGGAAAAAAAAATGGATTGGAGAATCACTGGAGTAAAACTAACTGGACCTGGTTGGATGTGGTGGCTCACACCTGTAATCCCACCACTTTGGGAGGCTGAGGCAGGAGGATTACTTGAAGCAGGCATTTGAGAGTAACCTGGGCAACAAAATAAGATCCCATCTCTTTAAAAAATTTTAAAATTAGCTGTGTGCAGTGGTCTATGTCTGTAGTCCCAGCTACTCTGGAGACTGAGGCAGGAGGATTGCTTGAGCCTAGGAGTCTGAGACTGCGGTGAGCTATGACTATGCCATCACACTCCAGTCTGGGAGATGGAGCAAGACCCTGTCTCTTTAAAAAAAAAAAACAGACTTAGTGGTGGTCTAGATGTAGAGGATGAGGAGTGTAAATAATTACTCCAACTTTCTGGCTTGAGTTGCTGGATGCAGTTGGGCTATTTACACAGATAATGAAAAAAATGGAAGAGAAGTTGTGGGGAGGATCCGGTCCTATTTTATATATTAAATATGAGGTGCTAGTGAGGCATGCAAGTAAAAAGACTTGAGTTTGGAATACAGGAGTCTGGGAACAGTTTGGGCTGAAGGTAGAAAATTGGAAGTCATTAGCTTGTAGTTGGTATTGAAAGATACAAAGATAAAGACCTAAAATACACAAATAAAGCCCAAGGACTGAGGAATCAGGTATTTAGAGGTCTGCAAAGGAAAAACAACCAGCAAAGAGCAATAAATGTTAGTTCTCTTCCTTCTTAAGCCCCTCGAGGAAAGGACAGGAACCATTGCTTCTGGATGCTACATAACTTTTTTGATATTACTATGCTAATTTTGTAATTAAGAATTACCTCAAACTGAAAGGATTTAATGCATTGACCTCTTAAATACTATATTTTTCAACCCTGTGAATTCTAGTATGTCTTGCAATCGTAGTTATTATACCATGCATATAATTGACTGTATAAGCCTACAGTTTCTGGATGAACCTCATTTCAGTTTGAATGATTGTCTTCCTGAATAGGAAATTACAGCATACATCTAAAAATTCTCTTTTCTTCATTAGTAATCTCAAAAACATAATTCCTTTATGTACAATTTTTGGTTTCCTATAGCATTCTTATAACTGCTTGAAAAGAACAAGACGGAGCTAAAGTTTTTAAACAATAAGTTCATTTGTTTTATTTCTAGTAAGAAAAAACAATGAAATTAATTTTCTTGTTCAGATTGATTTGTTTTGCTAATTATCTTGTAAAAATGTGCTTTATGTTATATATGAAGTTCTCCATAGATAATTTCATTTTCAGTCAAATGCAGTAAGCATTCACTGAACACCTACTCTAGGCCAAATATTTGGCAAGGTGCCAGTGGAAAAGGAATCAACTGATAGGCCCAGAACATTTTTTAAACCACTTTCCCTGGTTCTGTATAACACAGTGTAGTGGAATTCTGAAGTCTTACATTTGGATGGACATTTTGAAGGTAACAGCTCAATCTTTTTTTAGTAGCCATGGTATTCAGAGATTGTGAAACAATCCTATAAAACAATGCCGCATGCTGGGTGTGTAACCTTGGGCAAATCATTTAACTTCACTGGGCCTTAGTTTCCTCATCTGTGTAACTGGGTTGGCATATCTACCATATTGTTATTGTGAGATTTAAATAAAATGTACTTGCAGAAATGTCTTCCGAAGAACTGCAAAACCAAAGGTGACATGTCTAATAGCTATCTCCTACTCTAAAACACTGAGGAGAGAAGTTTTTCATATATTCAACAATGACACCTAGACCACAAGTAAACCTTCTCAACAGAATATTCTTAGTACCTGAGCCAGACCTCCAGCATGTATCAATGTGATGTCAGGCATCCAGGAACATCCAGGAACCACTAAGCCATACAGTGCAGTCACAAAGTAAGGAACAGAATAGAACATATATGCCAGCATCTGTATAGAACAGAGAAATAATATCAGCAAAGCAGCAGTTAACTTGGCCTGACTAAAAAGTACAAAAAAACAAACATTTTCATCTTTGAAAATATTAATTCCTATTTCCTATATGGGACCCATTTTTTTTACTTTTATTTTTATTTTTTTTATTTTTATTTATTTGTATGTATTTATTTTGAAATGGAGTCTTGCTCTGTCCCCCAGGCTGGGGTGCAGTGGCGCGATCTCAGCTCACTGCAACCTCCACCTCCCAGGTTCAAGCAGTTATCCTGCCTCAGCCTCCTGAGTAGCTGGGATTACAGGCGTGTGCCACCATGCCCGGATAGTTGTTTGTATTTTTTCAGTAAAGATGGGATTTCACCGTGCTGGCCAGGCTGGTTTCAAACTCCTGACCACATGGTCAACCTGCCTCAGCCTCCCAAAGTGCTGGGATTACAGGTATGAGCCACCGCACCCAGCTGGAACCCATTTTTTAAAAGAAAATTAATGTTAGAAAAATCTTAGGCCTCATAACTACTTGACCTGAATTTTAGGATAAGCAGCAGGATCCTTTAGATAGGGCTCTTGAAATTGCGTATATAATCGGCAGAGCTCAGATGGGCAATCCAAAGCAATCTAAGAACAAAAATAAACTCATTATAAAAATACAATCACATCTGGTTCTTAGGTTTGCTGATAAGGCTAAATGTGCCAGGTTTAGTCACAAGCTGCTTTGCTATTTAACAAAATGTGCATTGTAGAGACTCATCAATGATGGAAATATTTTACACATTTGTTCTAAGGAGATTAAGCAAAGGTTAATTATGGTGCAGGAAATGGTAACTAATGCCCTATTCTTGGGTACCTTTCAGATATTCAGAGTTTTAAGTATCTAGGTTTGGCTAGCCAAAGCACAGCTTGCTAAGTTATGAGTTTCACTTTTCCTGGAAATAACTAGCCCGCTATTCCCTACAGGAAGAAAAGTATATTTCTACACCAAATTCATCTTACTATGCATTGCAAGATTTGAAAATAGCACCTCCTGTCTCTAGTGCCTCATAGAGTATATAGCCTTTGGAGGCAGTAAAAGATAATGATCTGAAAGCAGCGTCCTCTTGCCTGAAAGTCTCTTTGGCACCTTACTAGGTCCCCTCTGAATCACCTTCCTCCCCTCAGGCACCATTCCTCATGTCTTTGGCCATAAATGTTGTCCCACCTAGATGACATATATGAACACAGGCCAATGGCAGAGTGGTAAAAATGGCCCCAATCCAAAAGCCCTACCCACCTTGCATACACACTCACACATGCACACATTTTTCTCATGTGCACAGGGAAGGGGATATGTCTATGCAAGAATACAGGTGGGGCCCACTTTTTTTTTGTTGTTTGAACCTACAACAAACTAACCAAAGAATGGTTTCAGTGGCCCTGTGGTCCAAGCAAAGCTATGGCCTTGCCTTCTCTTCCCCATGCCCCTCCTCCTGTTAGCCAATCCAACTCTCCTCCAGAAAGTTTCTGACATTCCACAGATAAAGATAACTCTTAAAACAGCTTCTCCCCCTGAACCCAGCCTGCTGCACAGGCCCCCAGTAGCCCAAGACCCTGAAATGATAAAAGTCACCCACATGGGCTTACACTTGCCACTCTACCCTCCAACTGTTATGCACGCCAACAGGCTTAGAAGAGAAATTGTCACTGAAGCTGAATATAATTAACAATATAATTTTGATTTTCCCAAATGTATTTCTACTAAGAAGAAATCATCAAACTGGGCCATTGTGAAGGATCACTGATCAATAAAAATCCTAACAGTAATCATTTACTATGTATAAGAGCCTCTACCAAGTGTTTGGTGTACATTATTTAATCTCCAAAACAATACTGTTAAGGTAGGTAGTGTTATTTTACAGAGAGGAAAACAGAGTCAAAGAGTTAAGTAGTTTTTCCAAGGCCACACAGCTAGTAAATGGCCAGGATTCTAACTCCAAAGCCTGTGAGTCTTTTTCTTAACCTCTGCAGTAAAATATTAAAAAAGAGAAGATAGAAAATATGAAATGCCCACATGCCCTTAATGTATTTCAGTCACATCAATACAATACTCCAGGCCTGAGCTGAATTTACTCAACACTATTCTTATCAGTGAGACATTCCCATAACCCCACATACACGTGAATTGTTGAGCTCGTACGCCTTCCTCAACCCCATCGCCCCTATCCCGAGAACGCAGGGATGCTCTGTGCCACAGTTGTGTTGCAGTCCTAGGGTGCCATCCTTACCAAAGATATTTACATTTAAATCCGAAACATCAAAAGAATAATAGAGACTCCAATGGCTGATTTTTTAGATGCCCTAAAATGGGGAAGAAGATGCGTCTGAGTAGAGCTTGATCTAAGGACAGGAGGAGGTGACAGCAGGAGGCTGAGGTAGGGAGCAGTAGGAAGTAGGTCCGGGGCTCCAGGCTTTGATGGGAGGAGTGGTTTGTTAGTTTGCTAAGAAGTCTGATGGAAAAACAAAAACATATTTCTAAGGTTTTTCCATTTGGAAATATGAGTAGTATCACAGTGTTACATTATTATTATCTGTTATGCTTACCAAGCCTCTGAACAGGCAAAATCCAGTTGCCAGGAGGAGACACACGACCAACATTAAATCAAATGGTCTTCTCAGCAGATCTTTCGCTTGGGCTTCTTGAATAACCTAAAATAGAGTTTGTACCTAAAGAGCAGGCCCAAAGTGCCAAAGAAGAATCTGAAATCTGAAACATTAAATGTCATGATGATGGATAAGAGAATTTTGAAGATTCACAATTTATATCATAAGTCATTGGCCATGGAACTTTAGGAAAATCATTTCCTTCCTCAAGTCTCAGTTTCCTTATCTGTGAAATGAAGAATTTGGGCTAAATGATCTCTCGAAGGGCCCTTATAGCTCTATGAGTCCACATTTTTTCTTGAAATGACATTTTAATGATAAGAAATTTTAAAAGCAAACCATAAACCTGCCACATCACTATTAACCATTGGTATACTTTTCCAGTAATACATGTAGTAGATATACACACACACACGCACGCACACACACACTACATACATACACACACATATATCTATATTTTTCACAAAATTAGGACTTAGTATAAACAATTCTGTATTTGTTCTTTTTGCCCTCAACATCTGCCTATATTGTAAATACTTTCTTACATGATTAAAAATATTCTAAAAGTGAATATCGTATGGAAACACCACACTTCAGCCATTCTCCCACTGTTGGATATTTAGGCATTTTTCACTGTTACACTTAATGTAATGATGAACAATTTTGTATGTAAGTCTTTGGTGGTATCAGTGTGATGATTTCCTGAGGATAGGGATCTAGGAGCAGAATTATTGGGTTCCAGAATTATTCAGGTTGATAACATTGCCAAATTGCTTTGCAGAACAATTCTGAATGTATGTTCCTGTCAGCACTGTATGACAATGCTGCTTGGCCCTGGCTGTCACTGTGTTTTCACATTAAAAATGATGATAAGCAATTCTGCATGCCTCATGGCATACCTACTCTGTTGACACACTGACATGGAAACTTTAAAAGCAGTGGAGCCGGGACTAAGCGTGGACTGACTATTTGCTTTTTCTTTTTAACAGCCACCTCTTTCCTCAGAGGGATGTAAGAGAGTACCAGCTGTCAGTGTGCCAGCCTGAGTTTACATAGCAGCTGTCTAAATGTTTACACATGAAGTATTTGTCAATTAAAATGTATTTTAATGAATTTTATTGAAAACATTTTATAAAATGAATAGTCGTATTCTGATTATCTCTAGTAATTCATATTTTCATATATCAGTTTTGCTTAAAAGATCTTGCTAAATAATCTAATGCCTAGAAAAGGGAAAGAAACAGAGAAACTAGCTTAGAAATGAAGGCCTTAACAGAGTATCTGCCAGGCCAGTGTTGTTTCACCTTGACCACCCTGGCTGTGAATGGAAGGGGAGGTGTCTCAGATGTCCTGTAGCCAGTCTCCTTGGGTCTGGATCTCTGGAGTCGAGATTTTATGACTGTGTAGACTACCTTGAGGAGCGGTATTCCTCCAGTGTCCTCTTGGGGTAGTAAATGCATAGGTGTCACAGAGGAACCCAGGTGCTCAAAATCCAGGCCATTAACAACCCTAGATGAACCACATACTATGGACTTCACTTGACACACTAATGCAGAATCTGATGGTTAGAGGCAGTGTGACCACTGGCACAGGAAGCTCCCCAAAGTATGGCCTTGCCAACAGAAGCAGATGTATTCAGACAGAAACAGACCTTCTTGCCCACATTAACTAAGATGTAAGCTAATGCTGCATAATCAAAACAGTCACACTGTTTGGATACCCCAAATGCTCCAGTCCACAGAGGCACAGTTCAATTCAGCAGCCAGTGGATGCGAATGAACCCCTATGAGTTTGAGAACAGGGTACATCAAAACTTAATAAAATCACCTTTGAGGGGTAATTATAATTTTCTGATGGCTGATTATAGATTCTGAAACCAGCCCAGACAGGAAGACAAGTATATGGTATGCTTAAGAAAAAAGCAGGGCAAATTCGTGTTCCATACTTCCCTATTTAAAAGAGAGAAAGAGAAAGAAGTTACCAAAAGCATATCTAACACAAGTAATATTTAGGATACCTCCCCATCTCAGGTCACCTAAAATTTTGCTATGGGCCAGACAATATTTTTAATGAGGCCAAATTAAAAAGGTCAATTTAAAATACTAGATGTATATTAACAGGCATGTCCTGCTACAGTAATCTGCTTGAGGCCAGGAGGTCAAGGCTGCAGTAAGCTATGGCTGTACCGCTGCAACCCAGCCTGGGCAACAGAGTGAGATCCTGTCTTAAAAAAAAAAGTCTAGATAGATATCTATATATGTTTGTATATAGCTATCTCCCTATATATATAATATCCTGATTTCCTGCATACATTAATAATGTACTTATAATTTCCAAGTACATTTTTGGAGTTCTCATCATGTGTCAGGAGTTACATATTTGCACACTAAATATAGCCATAAACACCATACTCACTCCCTCGAGATCCTTCTAAAAAAATAGGAATCCCTGATACTTGACTGCCAAATTGTTCAATGCACACGTCTGGAAATTGCTCAAAAGCAGTTCTTAAAAGGTATTTTTTTTAAAGGTGAGAAAAAGGAATTACTCTGCAAAACAGGTTTTTAGTAAGCGTGGAATCACCTGGTTCTATTATAACTAAAAGAGCTTCTCTATTTAAAAACAAGCCCCATTGTTTTAGAAAAGGAAAGTGAACTTCAAGATAAAGTATCTTACCTACAATGTTTCCTGGCACAAAAACAACAACACTCATAATAATAGATCCAACCCAATATAGGCCAATGGTTCTATATGTTTCCCTGTAACAACAACAAAAAAATCTTGACTTGGTATGTTTGTCTTAGAATACTAAGCAAAAAATGATCCTCAATATTATTTTTTATTCAAACTAGTAAAGTACATGAATCAAAACATATTGAATCGAGAGGAATAAATCAAACACAGGGAGTCCTGGTTATCTAACTTCATTGCCACGTGATATACTATAGAACCTTCTTCGTGTCCTTTTAAATAGGAAATTATGCTTGCTATATATTCTGTTAAACTACAACATGATCATCCCTGCTACAGGACTCTTGCATTTCCCTGTTGTGTGTGAAACTCAACAGCATGAAAGGAAAAAAGAAAGTTGAAAGAAGAAAGGAAATTGAATCCATATTTTTAATCATTGTAAGTATGAGTTATACTTACAATGATAATGTTAAATGGACTTTTCCTGGGGTCACAGAATATTGGCCAAAGCCCCAAAGGTGAAGACAAGTGACATGTACCCCATGTTGCAAAGGAGCTGCTAGACATATACCCCTAATCTTCAATGCTGACAAAAAGTTTGTTCAGGCAGGGCGTGGTGACTCACGCCTGTAGTCCCAGGACTTTGAGAAGCTGAGGTGGGTGGGTCACTTGAGGTCAGGAGTTTGAGACCAGCCTGGCCAACATGGTGAACCACCGTCTCTACTAAAAATACACACACATACAAAAATTAGCTGGGCATGGTGGCATGCACCTGTAATTCCAGCTACTCTGGAGGCTGAAGCAAGAGAAATGGTTGCACTCAGGAGGCATAGGTTGCGGTGAGCCAAGATCGTGCCACTGCACTCCAGCCTGGGCGACAGAGCGAGAGACTGTCTCAAAAAAAAAAAAGTTCCTTCAATTGATAACCCCAATAACCCAACTCCACACTATGTAACAGGCTATGAGAAATTCAAAAGGAAATCCTCTGAAAGGAAACAAGGAGAATACTGTGTGGGTCCTGCCCCACCCTAGCCCTCAAGCCAAATGTAACCGGACCCCAAGAGGCCCATTCACAATGACTGGGATTGTAGGGAGGACAGATAAGAATGAGTTGGAGCCGGGCGTGGTGGTTCACGCCTGTAATCCCAGCACTTTGGAAGGCTGAGGTGGGCAGATCACCAGAAGTCAGAAGTTTGAGACTGGCCTGGCCAACATGGTGAAAAAAATTTTTAGATTGTTGTACTAAAAATACAGAATTTGCGGGTGTAGTGGCACACATCTGTAGTCCCAGCTGAGGCATGAGAATTGCCTGAACCCGGGAGGCAGAGGTTGCAGTGAGCCGAGATTGTGCCATTGCACTCCAGCCTGAAAGACAAGAGCAAAACTCTGTCTCAAAAAAAAAAAAAAAAAAATTAGCTGGAGCTGACCTTGAGTGCATGTTGGGAGTGAGGGAGATAGTTGGCTAAACTGCATTTCAACCTTGTATGGGGCAAGAATGCATGACTTTCTGTAACCCGGAAGCAAGTGGAGGCCTGAGAAGACGGCTGGACTTAAACGTTTTGAAAGGATCCCTCCCCAAAGGGTGCGCCTTCTGGGTTACAGGGGCTCCAGCAGAAAAAAGCTGTGGGTGGGCCACCATGGGCAGAAATTCAGCGCAAGAGCATGTCGTTCACTTCAGGGATTAGTGCAATGCAGAAGCTCCTGTGGTTGGGGTCTCTAAAGAACTCACACGTGTGCCTCCCCAGACCAACCTCGCATATCATGATGGGGGTACTGCTACCCAAAAACAGCACCTTTCACATAAGACTCTTCCCCTGTTCCTTTAATCCCTTGTACATACACATCTACTCCCAAGGGGCCAGCTGCAGAGTGAGATGAGAGGAGTGAATGGACAGGCCATGTAGCCAAGCCTTAGTGCAAGCCAAGCCGCAGAGCTGTGCCTGATCTGGGGAAGGACAGAAGCTTTAAACCAAAATGAAATTGCAGTTTGGAAATTCTGAAGTTTTGAAATGAAGTTTAAGATGTGCTTGGCTTTAATTGCTGAAAATAAAAATTATTCTTGTAAGACAACATAATCAGAAAGCGTAAAGGGTCTGCCCGAGCTATCACCATGCTGGGGAGCAATTCAGAGGGACATATTCAAAAGGCAGTGGTACAAGGAGGATAAAGCCACGTCTGACGTGCACCCTTGGAACTTATATTCATGTCCAGTATACTTGCTTGCGTATTTGCCTCTATGCATAACGTTTCCTTACATACCCGCTTATCGGTTGCTAAGGTGGCAAAGGCACACACCAGGTGAACTGACTTACTCCCATGCTATGGCTGCCACCATCACCAGGTACATCAGATAATGAGCAGAGCCATCCCAGTAGCAGATCATGTGCCCATATGCAGTGTTCAGATACGGTTCACCCTAAAGAAAGCATTAAACAGAAGTCCACTTTAAATAAGACCTGTAAATGCAGAACATCAGACCTGTATTGCAAGTAAAATAAAACAGCAGAAATAACTTGTGTTCATCTGCTAAGATGAAACTATTTCTTCAAAATTGGTAGGAACGTGAAAATACAACTTCATGCTGGAGCTGCCAAAACCAGGGTCTGGCCACAGAGGATGGAATTAGAGAATGCCTGGCCAATGGACCTATGATGCATCAACATAGGTTTGTACTGTGATGCGAAGGCAGATGGCATGATAGGCAATCCCAGCTGTACGGCAAACTCATGGAGACCAAGCCAAATCTTTGACAAAAGGTGCTGGGCAGTGATCAGAGAGGTGATCAGGGATGACCCTGCTTTCCAGAGCCAGTGGCTGGCCTTAATAATTCATGCTGATCCCGTGGCTTGCTGGACTGGGCATGGCACAGCATGCATTCTCCACATACTGACACATAGGCAGGCAGGCACTGAACTCGGAGCTTCACACCCAACCCCTCCTTCTACCTTCCCAACAACCCAGTGGGATGGACAGGATTGAGTCCATTTTACAGATGAGGAAACAGAGGCTCTGAGAGATTACAAGACTTACCTAAGGTCACGTAGCTAGTATACCTAGCAGAGAACAAGAAGAGCCATACTTCTCCTGGGCAAATGTTAATGTTATGAACACGAGATTATATGACGAACTACAGTTCCCTTTTCTAGGTGGTTACATTTCCCTTTTCTAGGTGGTTACATTTCCAGGTGGCTTCTGGAAAGTCACTGGCAATTTTCCGTGCATTTCTACTTTTGTTTTGGCCCCACCTTGTTTTCCTTTCTTCTTTCTCCCCCGCTCATGCTGTCCTGGCTTGTTTCACACTGTAAGATGCCTTAAGTCCTTTCTACAACAAGGAAGGGTGCAGATCAACCAGCCCACCAATCAGCCAAGCAAGCAGGGCTTTCTTTCAAGTTTCATGCTCCCCTGGGGCAAGGACTGCTTTGTTATCTCTCCCACAGATCAAATCAAATTAAAATCAGAGAAGCAGGAAACAGAATCAAGGTTCTGCTTCTACACCCATGCCAGGCCCACGTCCTTTCTCTCGGACTTGCTGTGACTGAAGAATACATCCGATTTATGGTTTCAGACTTCCATTGCTAACACACCTGGCTCTCTGAGCCAGTGGTGGTCTCTCCTGGTAGCTTGATGAGCATCTTTAACTGCATGGTCCACAGGCCACAGGTTCTTTGAACTCGCCTGAACTCTTAATTCATCAGCGTCTCCCCTCAACCAGCCTCTCTCTCTCTTGCTCTCTCTGTACGTGTGTGTGTGTGTGTGTGTGTGTGTGTGTGTGTGTAGAGACAGGGTCTCGCTCTGTCACCCAGTCTGGAGTGCAGTGGCGCAATCATTGCTCACTGCAGTCTCAACTCCTGGCCTCAAGCGATCCTCCCACCTTTGTCTCCCAAAGCACTGAGATGACAGGCATGAGCCACCAGGCCAGCCATGGCCTCTCTATATTAATGATGATACCATTCAGCTTCCCAAGGTCAAAACCACATGGTCATTTTTTCATTCCTCATTCTCCTATGCAGTCTTTCAGCAAATCTATCAACTTTATCGCTACCATGTCACCCTGGCAATACTCCCTCTTCTTCACAGCATTAGGTCTAGCCCTCAGTGTCCCTCACTGGGCCACGGCTACATTCCCAAATGGTCTCCCTACCTCTGTCCCCTCCTTCCAGCCCATGACACTCCTCCTGCCAGATGAAGATTCTTAAGGCCTGGCTCTTGGCATGTTGCTCCTCTACTCTAAAACTCCCCAAAACTTGTCACAGCCTGCTGAACCAAGCCCCATCTCTCTATCACAGCTGGGTCCCCAGAGCCTGGCCCTGCAGACCTTGCCACCACAGTTACACCCCAGTCCCTGTTCTGGTACCCCATCTGCCCCAATGCTTACCACCCTTGCCAGCTCAGCCTCCAGCCCTCTCGTCAGCCGCCTCCTTCCTAAAACCTCCCTCCTCTGGGTGCCATGGTCCCCACTCTCCAGGTTTTCCTTCTGCCTCTTGGCCTGCCCCCAAGGTCCACTTCAGGGGTTCTCTTCTTCTGGCCATGGTCTCTAAAGTCCCAAGCTCAGCCCTTTTCTCTCTCTACCTTCTCATAGGCAAGCCCGTCTCCTCTCAGACCTTCAGGTACCAACTGCACTCAGATGGCCCCGGACTCTCTCTGCCAGGACTGCTCCTCAGAGCTCAAGACCTGCAAAGCCTTGCCAGCATCTGAAACTCTACCTCCCCATAGAAATTCAGCCTCATCCCTGCAGATTGGTGCCCCAGTGGGAGGCACATGCTCTTTCTCCTCTCCAGTCCTCTCCAAGCCTTTGCCCAAGCTGTCCTTTCTCTCCAGAATTTCTCCTATCTCCCTGGTCCATCTGGAAATATCTATCTTCCACTGCCATGACCATTTTTTAAATGCTACAGCAGTGTCACCAACTCAATAAGCCTTCCCCGACTGTGCCCAGACTTAATTCCTCCTCCGTGTACTTCTGTGCCTGGAGTAAGTCTCTGTCACTGCACCTGGGACAATGCCATCTCCCCACCACATCAGGCAGGGAGCTCCTGGGGGGCAGGGAGCAGGTCTTCTGACCACAGAGTCCCCTTCAACAAATGTCTGCAGAAATAAATTCCTCCTCTCATCCCTCTCTGGTGTAATGTTTTTACATGTTTGCAGCATTCTTCCAAATTCCAAAGCAGGAATCAGGACACTGTCTTAGGCCTCACCCTTCCCATCATTCCCAATTTGTCCCCAAGTCTTACTCATTCTAGCCACTCTGATTCTCTAAAGTTCATCCCTCTCTCTACTTCCCATGCGCTGCCTCTGCCCAGCCACATTTATGCCCCTGCTGGTCCCGAGGAATCCTCCTGACTGGTGCCCCAGCTCATGGCACGGACCCTTCCCTGCAAACCCATCCTTCCCAGAGTTACCTGTATTCTTCACTGACTTAAAATCTTCCCTCGGCCGGGCGCGGTGGCTCAAGCCTGTAATCCCAGCACTTTGGGAGGCCGAGACGGGCGGATCACGAGGTCAGGAGATCGAGACCATCCCGTCTCTACTAAAAAATACAAAAAACTAGCCGGGCGAGGTGGCGGGCGCCTGTAGTCCCAGCCTCCGGGAGGCTGAGGCCGGAGAATGGCGTGAACCCAGGAGGCGGAGCTTGCAGTGAGCTGAGATCCGGCCACGGCACTCCAACCTGGGCGGCAGAGCGAGACTCCACCTCAAAAAAAAAAAAAAAAAAAAATCTTCCCTCACAGACAGGATAAAACCTAAAATCCCACAGTGTACATACAAAGCTCCCCATTATTTGAACATGGATGAAGAATCTGCTTCGAGCCCTGTTCCTCATTTCCTGTGTAACCTTGAATGAGTCACTTAACCTCTCTGGGGCTGGGTTCAGCCCACCATAAAATAAGAAAATAGGACTAGCTCTCTTGAGTACCAGGCAGCTATCTAAAGCTATGATTTGGGCAGTGTGGTGAGGAGTGCCAGCCATCACAATCAAATGACTTCATCAAGTGCTTCTGTGTTTGGTACTTCACAAATTTAAGACTGACTTGGGGTTTCTGAGATAGTCATGTATTAACAGACACACAAATACTAAATCCATTTAAGGTACCTTATTTATATTAAATACAAATAAAGGAGAAAAGCAGGTCATGTGTGGGTTCATGAGAGAAGCTATGAGAGCTGAACATTGGAGAGAATTGCCTCCCGTGATCTAACCGTCCTTTCTGCTCCACTTTCCATGTGAATAAGTGACCTAAGGCTATTATAGGAAGTCAAAGCCTGCCTGTCATACCTGTTCATACGAAATGAGAAGACTTCTGGCTTAGAGTAATGTGATCTGGGTTGTGGTCTTTTGGTTGAAGCCTCATAATCACTAAGTGATCCCATACCTCTCTCAAGTAGTGTGTCATGAACCCGTCAATGATTCCATCTTGCTCCAGTCCTATGATGAGGTTCACCACGCTGGTAAATCCAAAAACTGCATACACTAGAGCAAAGAAAGCAGCAGTTTAAAAAGCAATAGCTCAGGAGGCAATTACACAAGCTTGGCATCAGCTAATAATAATGGAATGTTTTTCATGTTTTCCAGAAGATGCTGTGGACAATTATCGAGATAGACTAACAGAATACCCCTTCTACACACCCAACTGGACCTCCACTTGTGTTTGCAGCTCTCCCCATCCCTGCCTAACTACTCTCATCAAGGCAACACTCATCACAGGAGTGGAGAATGATGGTCACCGCCGACTCAGTCACAGAAGATTCTAGCAGGCCAACTCCACCCATCCTCCACTCCCCTACAAGTGGCTGCCCAGAGCCAAACCCACATCCCACCTGGGCAGTGGGAGCAAAGCCAGTAACCGAGTGGCCAAGGAAGCATAGAAGTGACCGCTAAGTTTAAGACAATGACTCAGGCTGGGCGCAGTGGCTCGAGCCTGCATTCCCAGCACTTTGGGAGGCTGAAGCAGGTAGAACACCTGAGGTCAGGAGTTCAAGACCAGCCTGGCCAACACAGTGAAAGCCCGTCTCTACTAAAAATACCAAAATTAGCTGGGTGTGGTGGCACACGCCTGTAATCCCAACTACTCCGAAGGCTGAGACAAGAGAATCGCTTGAACCCAGGAGGTGGAGGTTGCAGTGAGGCGAGATCGCGCCGCTGCACTCCAGACTGAGCGATAGAACAAGACTGTCTCAAAAAAAAAAAGACAATGACTTGACAAAGTGATTCATCTCAATGATTCCCAAGCAGGCCACCTCACAGCGTGTCCAGTGTGGTTACCCTATTCCACACAGCGTATCCTAGAGACAGACAGGTGGCAATGTGCAAGTGACAATGGCTTTCAGAAATAAGACTAGTGATGTTAAAAATGAATACAAGAGGGTATAATTGAATATGACAGAAGGAAATCTGTACCTATCAGAGAATCTTATTAGTTTTGTGAGCATCTCCTAAATGGGCTTAAAGCTACTAGCAACAAGAAATAATACTTTTTAAACAGCAGGTGATCAAATTTAATGCATGTTAGTTTGTCAAAGCTGCATTTTTAAGTTGTAACAAATTGGTGCCTTAGACTATGGGATGGGCATGAACAGTAGAAAAATCTGATGGTGAATATAAGAAAAGCTGTGAAAAAAAGAAATGGAGAGGAGTGTGGGGATGGTTAATTCACAGAGAAGGGAAGGTGGCCTTGCCTGGAGTCAGCAGCCAGGAGTCCAGCACTCACCTTCTCCCCAGAAGGAACAAAAGGCCACATGTACATGAGGAGTCTGGCCTTGGGCCTGACCCTGGCCCTGAAGCTGCAGTATGCTCAAAGCTGTAGCAGACCAGGACAGAGGGCTGAGGGTACAGGAGAGAGGGTGCCCAGCCTTGAAGAGTCAGAGGGGCCAGAGCACAGGCCAGTGGAGAGAGCCAAGAAAAGGGATGTGGGCCTTGAAATCAGACAGACCCAGGTCATCTACTGACTGGCTGTAAAACCTTAGGCAAGTTACATCATTTCTGTAAGCTTCAGAGTTTCTTATATGTGGACTGGAGAAACTAGTTACTCACAATTCTTCTTTCCCACCTCACCTTTCCTAAGGCCCACTGTGGGCAGAGAATGCTCCCTATGCTGTTGCTGATGGGCTCGGCCCTATGCCTCATCTCAGCCAGTGGAATGTGGGTGGGAGTAAGAGGGGGCAGCTCCAAGCCAAGGTCTTAAGAGCCACCACTTTCTTCCTACTAGCCCCACTGTGCCTCTGTATCTGCCCTGAGAAGGGCATGCCTGGGAGCTGCTGGTCCAAGAACAAGGAGTCAGAGAACAGCCCTGAAATCAACCCACAGCCTGATGCAGAGTGTCTCCAACCCACAGACCTGTGAGCAAGAAAAATAAATGTTTGTTGCTGTAGGACTTGGGGTGCATTTGATATGGAGCATTACTGAAGCAGAAACTATAGAACAAAATGCCCAGCAAGGTGCCTGGCACAGGAAGTGCTCAAAGGCCAGTAGTAGCTTGGCTGGGGCAGCATGCATGATGGAAGGGCATGGGCTTTGGGGGTCAAAAGCCACGTGACCTTTGCCACATTTCTTAGCATCTCCAAGCCAGCTGCTTCACTTTCAAGTGGAGGGATGGGGAGGATTAGGTAAAAGCCTGCTGCTAAAGTGCTCAGGGCCATACAAGGTGCACTATAGGTGCTTGTCTCTATGGCAGGTTCCATTATTTTCCTCTTCATGCATATGTGCAGACCCAGGCACCACACAGTTAAGTTCTGCACTAAGTCGGGGGGACTGCAAGTAGCAGGCTGAAGACAGGAAGCCCAGGAAGGAGCTGGCATGAGAGTCGAGGTCAGAGGTCAAAGCATGCTGGGGTTGGCAGGGTGCCTGCCTTGCCTGGCCTGGCAGTAACCCTCCACCAGGATGCCACCTGGGAGAGGGTGGAGTCCACAGCCTAAGAGGCAATAGCCAGAGGCGAGGGCCACATTATCCTGAAACACTCCTACACTTGCAACCACTCTTACCAAAAGGCTCAGAGTATTCACAACCAAGGAGGAATATGTGACTGAGGCCAAAAGTATTGTGTTATTAATCAGATACAAAAGATTTCCCTTTGTGGAGGCATACCATAGAACAGCGGGTCCCGGGGTGGTTTTCTTTTGACGAGGACACGAGCCAGCAGTGCTACCAGGAACAGGATGAGGGCAGCAACCCCTACAATAGTCCAGGAACTGCAACGACCAGAACAGGGAGGTGGTCACTATCAAAACAAACACACTGGTGCCTGGAATTTCCTGACTATTGAATGCATTCGCTCCTAGTCCTGCATAATTCATCCATAATTCTGCTTCTGCCTGCAGCTCCCAGCACTGTAGAGTTAGTGAAGTTTATCTGCACCTCTTTGGCCCATCTGGGCTGCAGCCCATGACTTTCAGGGACCGAAGCCATCAGGTCCTCCTCATTCTCCTCTTATCCTGTCTCATGTGCACAGATGACATGTCTGGAGCTCCCTCTGCCTCACCCCACCCTGAGGCACAGATGACCACTGCCCCAGTGCCTCCACCTACCCATTCCTCTAACCCCTGCTCCCTAGCAGCTGACAGGTCTCACCACTGACTCTGCCACCTCCCTCAGGGCCAGTCAGAAGCCCTCAGACTGAGCTCCAAGGAATATATAGGCATTACAACTAAACATGCCTTCCAGGGGACAAGAAAGAAGTGACCTGATGTTTTGTGTATAATCAAATGGGCCAGAGAATGGGGCCAGGAAATCCATGGAGGAGGAGTCTGGACTAGACCTGAGGCCAGAATGAAGATAGCCCAACACCCCAGAACCAGGACCAACAGATCAGCATCCAACCCCAAACCACAGAAACCAAGGTGAAGCTTGGTTGAGCACATCCCCTGGACGTTCTACAGGAAACGGAATGGCACCAAGGACAGCAGGGGTCAAAGACACTACTCAGTGGGGCAGCGCTAGGGCACGAGGCTTGGTAGAGTTATCAGTCAGGAAACCAGGATCCTGGTACCCATTCTGTTGCTAACTGTGTCACCCTAGGAAAGTCACATCATTGCATCCATCTGTTTATTAATTAATTCAAAAACATATCAAGGAAAAAAATGTATTGTGCAGCCCTATGTGGTAGCCATTGTTGCAGGCCCTAGGAGACTGGATAAATAAGAGAAGTCCTTGCCTACATGGAGGAACCTATCTCAATGGACTCTGAGCTCTACCACCTAGGAGTTTTCCTGTAGTCCAACAGCAATACTCTCCCTCTCACACCTCCAGCATTGACAGAGTTTCCAATTCTAGACAAAATACTACCTGGCCCACTCCAATGGCTTGCTACACCAGGACCTCTTCAGCTTGGAGCAGCTACAAGCACCACTCCTCAGCTGAGACCCCTCCACACCACCACAGCCCAACATTGAGACCTTTGGATAACTATCACCATCCCTAGGAGAGAGAAAGAGAAGAATAGAAGGAGGGAGGGAAGGGGGGAACAAATAGATGATGAGTGGAGGGATAGGTGGATGGATGATAGAATGAATGGATGGATGGATGATGGATGGATGAATGGATAGATAATGGATGAATGGATGGATGGATGGATGATGGATGAATGGATAGATGATGGATGAATGGATGGATGGATGATGGGTGATGGATGAATGGACAGATGATGGATGAATGGATGGATGATGGGTAAATGGGTGGATGATGGGTAAATGGATAGATGGACGATGGATGAATTGATGGATGATGGAGGATGATGGATAAATGGATGGATGGATGACGGATGGATGAATGGATAGATGATAGATGAGTGGATGGATGGATTATGGGTGAATGTATGGAGAATGGATGGATAGATGATAGATGGATCAGTTTTATGATAAGAATGAGAAGACCAGGCACAGTGGCTCACACCTGTAATCCCAGCACTTTGGGAGGTTGAGGCAGGTGGATCACCTGAGGTCAGGAGTTTGGGACCAGTCTGGCCAACATGGCGAAACCCCATCACTACTAAAAATACAAAAAATTAGCCAGGCGAGGTAGCAGATGCCTGTAATCCCAGCTACTTGGGAGGCTGAGGCAGTAGAATTGCTTAAACCTGGGGGTTGGAGGCTGCAGTGAGCCGAGATTGAGCCACTACCCTCCAGCTTGGGCAACAGAGCAAGAGTCTGTCTCAAAAAATAATAATAATAAATTAATTAAATTAAAAAAAAAGAATGAGGGTGGCTGTATCAATGTCCAGGTGAGAAACTAAAAAATAGGAGGTTTCTGGTGATTGCACATCAGTGGTTGCTCCAGGATCCTCCTGTGGGGATGAGCTGAAGAAGGAGGAAGCCAATGTGGGTCAAGAGTGTGATGCTGGGCTGAAGAATCCTGTGAGGAGCGAAGAGGTGGGTGTGCTGGGTCAGCTGACAGGCATTTTAATGGTGAACAGCCTGAGACAGGTGGTGGTCGGGTGACAACTCCAGTCCTCCTACCAAGGGCCTGCACTCACTGCCAGCAGGGTCGCGTGGCTGGTGCTCTTCTGGAGCAGGAGAGAGCAGTGTAAAGTGGTTCACAGCATCCTCTCATGTTCTTAGCTCCAGGAGAGGAGGGAAAAATGAAGGGAAAATAGGGCAGCAGATCATCTCTGACTCTTGGCACTGTCCCCAGAGACCCTCCTACAACAGCCAAGTGCAGGACCTGCTCACCACAGGAGAAAGAGGTCCTGCAGGGACTCGGGGACAGGTAAGGGCTGCGACTAACCCCAGGATGAGAAAGTTGCTAGTCTTGGGGGCTGGGAGGGCCTGCTGATGCCCTTTTATGGACAAACACCTACTGAGAGGGGACATGCATGGATGAATGTGAGCAGTGTGTGTCTCAGTTAGAGAGGGAGACAGAACACGCTCAATCCTTTCCTGGCCTCTCAATCTAATTTTCTTTTTCTGGTTTTCAGAGTTGCATAAAAGGTTTGGTGGGAAGGAAACTCGATTTAACAAAGTCAAACATACCTGAGTGCCTACAATGCACATGGCACTGGCCTGGGCAGGACACTACAGAGGGGTTAGATATAGCCAGGGCAGGTAAGTTCTGACCACAGGAAAGTAACTCTCGGGAGAAAGGTGCAAACGAGGGACTGAGGGAGCTCAAAGGAGAGAGAGGGAAGGTCTGCAAAAGGTAGAAATGGCCATAAAGTCCAGGTGTGGCTTCAACAGTCTGCGATAGGAGGAAGGCAGCATCCTGGTCAGGGAGCAGCAGGAGTCTGGGCTAGAGGCTGGAGAGGAGGAGGAGTGGTCAAGGGGCAAAGGCAGGCTGGTGTGGCAGGAGCACTAGTGCATGGGCTGGGACTGGGGACAGAGGCCGAGAAACACGCCGGGGGCTGGGCAGGGGGACTTGCACGGGAGCCTTTGCCACAGTCCAGGTCAGAAAGGGCCAGTGCCAGGGAGAACTGAAAGGAGAGAACAGACACTAGAGCCCCAGGACTTGTGGGGAAGGAGACAGTGGGAGGAAGGTAGTGGAGAAAGAAGAGAGAGGAATCAAAGGCCACTGGGGTTTTAACCTGCAAGAGGACAAGAAGAATGGCTGACACTAATTATTCAAAACGCTGTGCTTGCCAATGCGCTCCATCATGCACAGCAATACATAATTCAGTCTGTATTCAGTAAATGCCATCATCATCTTCCCAGTGGCTGAGGCCAAAACCTAGGGCTCATCCTCAAATCCTCTCTTTGCTGCCATGCAGCCCTCTTCAGTAAGCCCCATCTGTTCACCTTCCAAAATACCGACTATGCCCCTCCAGGTCCTTCCCCTGCACTGCTCCATTTTCCTGCCCGACAAGCTCCATTCCCAGATCTTCCCATAGCTCAAGTGTCACCTCCTCCTAGAAGCCTTCCCCGGCCACCGGCCCCCTCCCCAGTCACCCTATTTTATTATCTTCATAGCATGTCACTATCTATGTATTATCTGTCTATCTCATTACCTGCCTCCACAACCTCTTCTGGCTTGTTCATAGCTGTGTCACCAACACTTGGAACAGTGCCAAACACACAGTAGCACTCAATATATCTTCACTGAACGCCCATAATGCTGTTTTTGAGGGTCCCCCATGCCCTATATTGACAGGCATGTAATATTTGGTGGCCCGGAGCAGCTGCCTCTAGGGGATGCCTCCAGAGACCGGGTCAGACCAAGGACAAACACTGCTGGTGCCTGGTGAGCACTCAGTGTGGGTGCTGCCTGGATCAGGTGGCCCGGCAGCTAGAGAAGAGGAAGTTACCACCCTGTGTACAGACGCTCCAAGGCTTGACCAGCTGAAGGGGGTTTGCAGCCTACAGACTGATGCAATTTCCTTCGCACCAACAGCTGAGAAACATAGCAGGTTACTTCCTCCTCCCTCCAGACAGCAACCAACTTCAGCAGGCACAGAGGCTGGCGCCTATCCCAACACCCGGAGACCCTCAAGCCTTCAGCTGCCCGCTGCAAGTTGGTTAGTCAGTGATCCCTGCAGTGGAGTGGGAGGCAGGGCTTCGAACCCAAGCTCTGTCCCCCTCCGTCAGCCTCACCCATTTCCTTCGCATTGAAGTGTTCTGCCTCTGCTGGCGGTCCCCATCCTACCCCAGCGCAGGCACTGGGAAGCACTTCTCCATTCACAACGCCCCTTCACAAAAAGATCTCCGTGGAACCTTACAATAGGACGCACACAAAGTCCACTTGACCGGAAGACCGAGGCCAGACCACACCGTCAGTGCCAAAGCCAGGCCTAGAACCCACGTCTCTGCCTGTTGGTTCCGGGCTATTTCTGCTAGTCATTCACAACAGTTTCTAAAATTAATAAGAAATGATAAGTATGCGAAAGTCCATACATGGAAACGTTCCCGTGAGATGCAAAAAGAACAAGGCACACACGAGCTGACACGGCCGGCCAGGCTCATAGTGTCCGTGTTTGTTCCGCTCCCCACCGGCCCCTGGGCCCCTCCAGGGCAGGGGTATTGACCCCTGTGTCCCCGGGCACCTGGCGCGGTGCTGGCACCACATCCCGAAATGCGCCAGCCTGGGCACTTCAGGGCCTGGCGCCAGGACCGGGCCCATGCAACCCCTGGGACGCCCCCCTCTGTCCCGCGGCGGACGGTCCCAGCCCCCTCGGGAAAGTTGCGAAGCTCCCGCCGCGCCGAACCAACTCCAGCCGCCCCTCGGCGCGACCCCCGCCGCCTCCGCTCACTCACTCGTGCTGGGCAGCCAGGTGGTTGAAGACATAGGTGACCGGGATGGCCGAAAGGGACAGCACGAAGACCCCGGTGGCCGCAGAGGCACTCATCGCAGCCGCCGCGCCGCTCGCCCTTCACCGCATCCCACTGGGCGCCCCGCCCCAGCTTCCGGCGGCGCCCGCGCCCCCTCGGCGCTTGCCCTTCGAGGAGCCCCAGCCGCGCTCCGCGCGCCGCGCCCTCAGCGGCGTCCCCTCAGCGGTGTCCCCTCGGCGCGCCCTCCCAGCCCGCAGCCGCCCCCCGCGCCCGGCCTCGCCTCCCCGAGTGCGCAGGGCCGCGGTGCAGTCCCGGGAGGCGTCCTCGCAGTGCTTCTGCCAGGGGCGCCAGGGCTCAGCGGCGAGCGCCCGGCGGCGCCGAGGGGCGGCGACACCCCTGCGCGGGGACAGGTGCCCCTGGTTGCGCGCTCTCCGAGGGAGGGCCCGGGGCATGGCGGGAACCGGTCATCGACGAGCTGGAGAGGCGCGGGGTTGAGCTGCGGGCCCGGGGTGTCAGAGGAGGAAGGGCCCACGGGATCGTCTATGGGGGAGCCCACGGCCCAGAAGTGGGAAAGGACAAAATGCCCCGGAAACCTCGGAACCTCTCCGCTCCAGCAGCCATCCGCGGGCAGCAGGCACAGCCCCTGCACCGAGCCGGAATCCGGTTTTTAAACCCTGGCTCTCCACTCACCAGCTGTTGACTTTGGTCAAATTACTTAACCTCTCTGTCTTTTCCCTTATCTGGGAAATGGGGATAACCCACTTCATAGTGTGACCGTGGGGTTAACTAAGTTCATACCTACGAAGCGCGTTATCCTCCGCTGCTCACTATACCATCTCCTGCAATTTCTTTTTTTTCTTTTCTCTCTCTCTCTTTTTTTTTTTTTTAAATTGAAATGGACATAAATGCCGAGACTTTCTAAGCGACTACAGCGCCATTCATTGCTACTCCAGGAAGCATTCCTGGAGGCCAGGTTGCCACCAGCCAGCCTGCACTGGGCCCTGCAGGATGCAAAGACTGGAAGATAAGCCTCTCCCTCTGAATGATAGATGCCTACTGGTATGGAAAATATTGTGTGTCAAGTGTGCTGACTACTCGAGCTGGCTTTCTGAAGGGCAGTGAGTTCCAGGAGGAGAACAGCTCAAGCAACCGAGGGAGGTACCGGCATGTACTTACTGTCCTTACAACTTTCAGGGAATTTAAGAGACCATTTAGGTGTTTTTGCTGTTGCCATTTGAGGGGTTTATTTTTATTTTTATTTTATTTTATTTATTAATTTTTGAGACGGAGTCTCCCGCTGTCGCCCAGGCTGGAGTGCAGTGGCGCGATCTCTGTTCACTGCAAGCTCCACCTCCCGGGTTCACGCCATTCTCCTGCCTCAGCCTCCGGAGTACCTGGGACTACAAGCGCCCGCCACCACGCCCGGCTAATTTTTTGTATTTTTAGTAGAGACGGGGTTTCACCGTGGTCTCGATCTCCTGACCTCGTGATCCCCCCGCCTCGGTGTTCCAAAGTGCTAGGATTACAGACGTGAGCCACCGTGCCTGGCCTATTTTTATTTTTTTAAGACAGAGTCTCACTCTGCAAACCAGGCTGGAGGCAGTGGAGAGATCAGGGCTCACTGCAGTCCCCACTTCCCCAGGCCAACCCATCCTCCCAGCTTAGCCTCCCTAGCTGCTGGGACTACAGTCTCACGCCACCTCTTCTTTGTAGAGGCGGGGTCTCACTGTGTTGCGCAGGCTAGTCTCAAACTCCTGGGCTTACATGATCCTCCCTCCGCGGCCTCCCAAGGTACTGGGATTACAGGTGTGAGCCACCGCACCTGGCCTCTAAAAGACCATTTGGCTCATTTTAAACATGAGGAAAATGAGCTACAAGGAGGCTAGGGCCTGCACCAGGGCCACTCCGCTTTTCAAAAGCCAGTTCTCCTAATCCCTCATCTTAGTTCTTCTTGAAGGCTTCTCCAACTCTGAGTGCATAACGATAAAGCCTTGGCCCACACTGTGACATATCAAAAGTTTCTCCAAGAGGTGTCCTCACCTGTTACCTGCACATCACCCTCTTCCACCCCAACCTTTACCACTCTCCTTAAACTCCTGCTTCCTCCCTGACAAGAGACACTTCCTCCTATACCTCTGATCTCCCAGCCAGGTTCCCAAGCCAGCCCGTCCCTTCCATCAACACCCAACCTTGTTGGATCAATCTCACCTTCTCAGAGCTGCTCCCTCAGAGCCCACAAGAGACCCAAGTGACATGGCAAAGCTTCAAGGTATTGTGATATACATATTGGGAATTACATGATTTTTTTTGTTGACAACAGTTTCTCTCTTAATGCTGAAAATATGAGTGGTCAGAATACTTGTAGTTGGGAAGAGTTTTTCATAGGAACCTTCCCTGGCTTTTGGGATAAGTGAACCCCTCTGGTTGCCCTGGATCCTTCCCCTTAACCTAGACACATGCTCAAGTATCTTCCAATTCAGAAATCTGCTCCCTGAACCTGAGTGTCCTGTTTCTTTGTTTGTTTGTTTTGTTTTGTTTTTTGTTTGTTTGTTCATCTTTGAGACAAAGTCTCGCTCTTTCACTCGGGCCGGAGTGAAGTGGTGCGATCTTGGCTCACTGCAACCTCTGCCCTGCCCTCTGCCGGGTTCAAGCAATTCTGCCTCAGCCTCCCAAGGAACTGGGATTACAGGTGCCCACCACCATTCCCGGCTAATTTTTGTATTTTTAGTACAGATGGGGTTTCACCATGTTGGCCAGACTGGTCTCAAACTCCTGAACTCAGGCAATCCACCTCCCTCCGTCTCCCAAAGTGCTGGGATTACAGGTGTGAACCACTGCACCCAGCCCTGAGTGTCCTCTTTTGCCTACCATCTTCTCTCGTTTCTTTCTCAGACACACTCGGTTTTAATGGCCACATCTATGATGCTAGATCCCAAATAACAAGCCCTGACCTGTTATTCCCTTAGCATGGCTGCCTGGGCATCCTGGTGGCACCTCACAATGTCAGAACGGAATTCCTCATTTCCTCAAGACACACTTCTGCTTTATCTCATCTGGTGGCACCACGATTCACCCACTCACCCAAGCCAGAAGCCTGGGAGCCATCAGTTCCCACCTCTCCGGAATTCCTTTGGTTACACAATTCTACCAATGTGACATTCCAAATATCACTCAAATCTGTTTGCTCCTCCCCATCTGCACCTCCTCTTAGTTTTGGTCTATACTGCCTTTCATCTAAATATGTTCTAGTCTCCTCCCTCTGATTCCTGCCTCTGACCTCAGTTGACTCAGCTGCTGTAGAAGGCCTTACCTGACCGCCCTCCTGCACTTTGGCCTATCAAGCGCCCTGCTTTATTTGATTCAGAGTGCTTTTACTATCTAAAATTATCTGGCTCACACCTTTGTATACTGGTCTAGATCTCTCCTCCATGATAATGGAAGCTCCTCAAGATTGGGAACCTTCTCTGGCTCATTCATTGTTCCAGTCCCATCATCTAGATTAATGCCCAGTACACAGAAGTACTCAAGAAATATTTGTAGGCCAGGCACAGTAGTTCAGCCTGTAATCTCGGCACTTTGGGAGGCCGAGGCGGACAGATCACTTGAGGTCGGGAGTTTGAGACCAGCCTAGACAACATGGTAAAACCCCATCTCTACTAAAAATACAAAAATTAATCGGGCATGGTGGCATGTGCCTGTAGTCCCAGCTACTCAGAAGGCTGAGGCACAAGAATCACTTGAACGCAAGAGGCGGAGGTTGCAGTGAGCAGAGATCATGCTACTGCACTGCAGCATGGGTGATAGAGCAAGACTCTGTCTCAAAAAAAAAAAAAAAAAAAAATTTGTTCAGTGAATGAATACTCTAGATCATTATTGCTCAACAGAAATATACTGTGAGCCACAAATGTGAGTCACATGTATTATTTTATTTTATTTTTATTTATTAATTTTTTATCAAGACCTAATCTCAGTCTGCTGCCCAGGCTAGAGTGCAGTGGTGTGATCTTGGCTCACTGCAGCCTCTACCTCCCTGGTTCAAGCAATTCTTGTGCCTCAGCCTCTCAAGTAGCTGGGATTACAGGTGTGCGCCACCATACCTGGCTAATTTTTTGTATTTTTGGTAGAGATGGGGTTTCTCCATGTTGCCCAGGCTGGTCTTGAACTCCTGACCTCAAGTGATCTGTCCAACTCGGCCTTCCAAAGTGCTGGGATTACAGGCATGAGCCACTGCGCCCAGCCACATGTATAATTTTAAATATTTTTGTAGCCACATCAAAAAGGTTTAAAGAAACAGTAAAATTAATTTATAATATATTTTATTTAGCCCAATATATCAAAAAGATTATCATTTTAACAAGTCATCAACATGAAATATATTAATGAGATACTTCATAATCTTTTTCCATTCCGAGTCTTCAAAATCCCATGTGTGTTTGACATAGTACATCTCAACTCAGACTAGTCATATTTCAAGTGCTCAACAGCCACATGTGGCTAGTGGCTTCTGTATTGGACATGGCAGCTCTAGACCTCCTGTCATACTGACCTGGCTTCAGTTGTGCCATTTTACTATTGTAAAACTAGATATGATAATTACATCACTAATCAATTCATTTTATCAACAAACATCCTCAGAGAGTCTGCCGTGTTTCCATCATTATTCTAAGAAGTGAGCATACAAAGATGAATTACAAATTGCCCAAGAAGACCACAGACTAATATGAGAGAGAAAGACATGTAAACAATTACCATATAATGCAATAAAAATATATAAGCCAGTTGCTATAGGAAACAGCAAATTTGGTCTGGAGGATCCAAGAAAAGCCTCAGAGGGAAGTGAGGCTTTAGACCAGCCTTGAAGAACAAGTAGAAGCTGGCCAAACAGACACGGAAGAGGTTGGGCCTTTCAGGCAACAGAGACACAACATGTTAAAGGCAGAAAGAAATGTGTGAGAAAGCTTGCCACTTTATAAAGTGCAAGTAATTTGTGCTGGTTGGAAATACTGGGATGTCATGTGCTGGGGGGCTGGCAGGAGGTGAAGATGGAGAGAGATCAGGGGCTCAATCTCAGAGA